CAAAATCCCATCTGTGGATCTTTTCAGAGACAAACCTTGAACTGAATAAAAATAAAATCATCATTTTAATCTTTGCTAAGCCTAAGTCATTTTTAGAACCTGCCAGAGCCCTCATGTGGTACCAAGTATGTGACAGTGACCCAGAAAGAGAAATGTGCAGGAATTATTCATGCATTAGGTGAAGAATCCTCCTCCCTTTCCTCCCTTGAATGGGAGGACAACAATGCATCGGGACTGCACTCCTGCACCCAAGTCATGGGCTGCTTGTTTCTCATGGCAAATTTCTCTGCACTTCATGGCAAGTTTCCCTGCTTTATTTCCCTAAATGTCACCATGAGGAAAGAGCACTGTCCTAACAGGTGCAGCGGGAGGATAAGTGTGTAAAGTACAATACTGAGACCTTCCCTGAAGATTTTCAAAACCTGCCTATACAAGATCCTGTACAATCTGTTCTAGGTGAACCTGCTTTAGCAGGTGGGGTTGGACTAAATGATCTCCAGAGGTCCCTTTCAACCCCAATCATTCTGTGAGTCTGTGATTTGTGTTCAGGGAAAGGATAAGGATCAGAAAATAGCTCATAGCTAGATGTTAGATTGTGAATGAACTAGGCTATGGAGGCTATGCACAGAAGAACAATCAACCAAAATATATATATTCTGTGGATAAAAATTGTTCCATCAAGGTAGCTCTGCCCTGCAGAAACAGGGCCTTAACAATAGGACAAGAAAAATAACTGCATCTTAAATTTCTGCACTATCCTTGTAAACAGACTTGCCATCAAATCAATAAATAAACCCTTGTCGCTCATCATTGAAAAAGCCCAATTTCAGTAACTAGAATGGAAACATGTGGCAGGGGAGGGAGGGAAAGGAAAAGAGCATTCTGCACACCTGGAAGTTATGATGGACTTTGGAATGGTTCAGGTGAGAGGCTTATCAGAGGAAGTGTTGACCCGGTCTGTCTCTATGTGAAGCATTTTATCAAGCTTAAGTACTTGACGTGTTGCCTGTCAGCTTCAATCTCTTCTTTTTCTTCTCTTATCAGGAGGCCAGGAAGACTGCATCCTTTCTTATGAACCTGTGACAAGGCAAGAAAGTAAGTTTCATCTGCTATTTGATCACTATTCCTTATATTTTTCAATTCACACTTTGGGGCCAGCAGAGCAGTAAGCTTTGCTGTGCCACTGCCAGATTCTGTGTGTCTTCTTTTTCTTGGACTCTCAGTCTATCACATATGAAAAAATATGATATGTGTCTTTCTTGGAAGCTTCCACTTCCTAACATTCCCAGAACTCTCCTTAGTATGCTCTCATGGGCTTTACTGATACACACAATAATCAATCCACAAAATATTGATGCAGATTTTCCAGATTTACTGCAATATTGTTAGTTGCAAAGCCTTTATTATTTTACTTCTCATGTGATATGTGCCACTAAACAGGGTTGATGAACCTATGGGGAAGGTAACTAACTGAAAATGGGAGCACACGCACCCAATTTAATGGGGGATGCACTCATACAATTCAAGAAGGAAAAAATGCCTCAATAGCCTTTCCATACCTCATGGAAGAGTCCATCTGCAAGCATTTGGGAGTGGCCTTGTTGAGCAATATCAAATACTGTCCTTTGACTATGTGCATGGACCATCAGAGAGCTCTGCAGTGCTACTCTTTCCATGTCCTTTTTCATGTCAATAAATAAAATATTCATCAATGAAATGCGTGTCATATGTAAAGGCAACAACTCTGATTAGTGCATATTTGGGAAAATATATTTATTATTGCCAGTAAGATCATCAAAATGTGCCTTTCTTTTTGTTGTTCAGTTAATTACACCAGGCCAGTTATTATTCTGGGTCCTATGAAAGATCGGATCAACGATGATTTGATATCTGAATTCCCCGATAAGTTTGGGTCATGTGTACCACGTAAGTATGATTTTGTTCCTAGTTCTGCAGCTAAGTGAATTTCATCCCTTAGTGTCACACATTAAGCAAATTTCTGTGAAAGCAGAATTCATGAACTAGATGTAGTTGAGTTTCTCAAAAGTTATTTTTCCATCAGACAGGAAAGAGGAAAGGAATAAATAAAATGTATTTAAAAAAATTTTTTTTTGAAGGTCTGGAAACAATTTCTCAAAATAATTGTCTCAAAAGCTGTAGGATTTTTTTAAGCAAGGAACCTTCTCAGTTTTGTAATCAATTAATGTGAAGAAAATAAAGGTTTGAAATACTGGTAAAATGCAAAATGTTTAAACTCAATTGCTTAGCATCCACCATACAAATGCAAAATAATCTCTGATTTGTGCGAGACCTGGATTGTTGAATCTGAAAGCAATGTTGGATTAAACAGAGCATTTATATTTTGGATCATTTGACCTTGCTGTTATTTCAGGCCCTGATTACAGTTGTACCTCATTTTAAACTATTGTATCTGCAAATATATGAACTTAAAACTGCTAGAGATAACAGAATCAGGCTTATAAATAAGGCTAAACTGAATCGATGAGGTTACCATAATATTAGATTTGCAATCTGAAATGCATTTTATTTTTGAGGTTTGTGTGTGATCCTGCTGGAAAAAAGTGGAATTCTGGTAAACCCTGATTTTATTTTAGCCTGTATTGATTGGAGGTAAACATCAGAAGGTATTAGTACAAAAAAAGACATCTTTATTGTCATAACTCCATGGAAAACAATATGTAGTAGCCAAAGACCTGCTCCCAGACATGGAGCGCCTTCACTTAGGGCAGACCAAGCTCTGCCCACTGAGCAAATCTTCATTTTGCATTAAATGTTTTTACAGGCTTCTCAATCTCCTGTCTTTTGTTTCATGCAGATACCACACGGCCAAAGCGAGACTATGAAGTGGATGGGAGAGATTATCATTTTGTCATTTCAAGAGAACAAATGGAAAAAGATATCCAAGAGCACAAATTTATAGAAGCTGGGCAGTACAATGATAATTTATACGGAACTAGTGTCCAGTCTGTGAGATTCGTGGCAGAAAGGGTAGGTTGACACTAGTTTTATTGCCTGTGCAACATGACCTGCTTTGTTTCCACTTTATGTCTCAGACATGATTGTCTGCCAAAAATAGAAAATATCTGCAAAACAGCATCCTAATATTTATAGACTTTATAATGACTCCATGAGTGGAGTCTCTGACTTTGAATGACATCATCTTAGACACTCTGTACTTGGATGTAGTGCCAGGGATGTAGTGCCTCAAGTACACCCTGAAACAGCCTTTCCTCTTCCCTCTGTAAGACAGATGCATAAACTTATCTTACTTTCACAGAAGCAAGAGAATGAACCACAGAAAGATTAAATTATTTGCCTCAGGTGACACAGGGAGTCTTTGACATTAACAAAAACTGAATTGTCCAGTAAGAATGTTGACATCCTATTCCTTTTATGAACTGATTTTCCTCATCTCACGAAAATCCTCCTGCCCCAGAAAATTTCATCCCGCTAAAAAGTAAAACCAAAGTTTGTTCCCATATCACCTGTGTATATTTTATATTAGCACCAAAGCAATGGAAAGAATGCAGAGGCGTGGAGTGCATGCCCTGGGCTCCCCCTTCCCAGATGTGCCAGTAATGTCCCAGTTCCAGGGCACTGCATCACAGAATTGCTTCCTATCTTTTGGCTGATCTGCAGTAAACGCTAAAAAAATAAACACATCCTCATCTGTTTCCAACAGGGCAAGCACTGTATACTTGATGTGTCAGGAAATGCTATCAAACGACTACAAGTTGCACAACTCTATCCCATTGCTATCTTTATTAAACCTAAATCATGGGAGCCTCTGATGTGAGTATAAACTTCTTCAAGCATTTTATTTTTCAGGGTACAGTCTCAAGTGGCACCACACAGGTCTTGGGTATACATTTTGCATGTTCTCTTAAATTAGTAATAATGAGAGGAAGTGGGAACAGTGGAGACTTGACCTCCCAGCCTGTTGTCCATTGTATCCTGGCATCTCAAGGAACAAGCCAGAGCTACCTTTGAACCTTTCAGATTGGGACATGTGTGCTTATATGCTGGACCATGAAGGACTCCTGGCCAGTGCTTGGTGTCCTTGCTCCAACCTGTGCAAGTTCACCAAGAACTCATGCAACATGGCTTCTCCCATCCAACCTTGGCTGTTCTTGGAATGTAGATTCCAGACAAGGGCATGAAACAGAGGGTTAAACCTGTGTCAGATTTGAGGGGTGTGTCTCTTCATCAGCCCTTCATTTACTTGAAGGTCTGTAAGAAGATAGGCAAGGACACATGGGACTGGAGAGGGGCAAACATAACACTTTAAAGAATGAAGGAGAAGGCACCATGTTCATGCTATCAAGGCTGACCTGGGTGTGAAGTACTTCGGAAGATAAGACTAAAACTCAGTGTTAGATCAGTAAGATGAAATTCAGCACAGACAAAGGAGAGAAAATGAAATGCATGAGTACAAATAGGGAATAATTAAGCTATAGCACTGCAGAAAAGCATCTGGCAGTTGGGGTGGATCACACAGGAATATGAATGGATGGGTAATGTGGTTGCAAAAAAGGAAACTGCCACTGTGGGCTGTATTCATATCAGTGTTGTGTAAGGACACAATAGACAGCTATTTTGTTTTACTGGGTATGTTTGAGGCCTTAGCTGGAGTGCTGGCCTGGTTCTGCTGGTGGAGGAGGAATGGGCATTATCTAGTGTCATGGACAGAAGGCTGAGGGGGAAATATGGAAGTGATCTTCATACTCGTTATAGCTCAGTATTAAGTACATTGTTGTCTGGTTGTTTTCTATGTACACTTATGGTAATGCAAGAGCTATCAGCTTAATTTGCTGTGATAGGGATGAAATTTTGAACTCTGTGCCTTTCCTTCACCCAAGGCTCTACAACTGTCAGGTAAAGTCATTGGTATGTGTTTCACAGCAGAAATGTAGGCATTTCTCCTGTGACAGACACATGTCTGATAACGATAACAGTGTACATGCAGCCATTGGGTGACAGAGCCGGAGAATGCCAACATGACCCACCCCATGAACGTGCATTCTCCCTGGCCCTGCCTTTTGGCAATGAGGTTGTTGCACATCCAGTCACATTACAGGGAATGATGCACAGTATGTGGTACTTGGACAGCCCCATCCTGACCAAAGCTGTCTTGTGTTGGGTGACTTCCTGACATTTCTTACAGACCCACAATTCAATTGTGTTAATTCAATTGTATTGATTTTGATGCTTTATAGAAAGAAAAGGTCTGATAGCCTATCTTCTGCATTGATTGTTTCAACAAAGATCTTAACACACGGTTTTCCCATCCATCAAACATTTCCATTATTTGTTTCATGCTGGCATTGTCTCTGGGATGATTTAAAATTTTTTTCACAGAGTAAATAAAAGTGGCCCTTACTCTAAAAAATACATTAGGCAGAACCAGAAAAGTGGCAATAATGCAAAGACTTCATTGCTTTAATGTATGAACAGCAAATCCTTGAAGAGATTGACTCAAAGGTGTTATGAAGATGCAAAATATTGTGACTATCATCCTGTTGTTGAACCAAAGCAATGCTAATATTTCACTTAGGGCAATAAAACAAGTGTGGTGTTCGAGAAACTGGATGTGTCACTTAGTGCTATAGTCTACTTGACAAGGTGGTGATGGGTCAAAGCTTGGACTTGATGATCTTGTAGGTCTTTTCCAATCTAAATGATTCTGTGATTCTGTGGTTCAGTCTTATGTATGTAACTACTACAATACAAAAATTATAGTTTTATCTGCCATAACTATTACTCTTGTTCATACAAAGGAGTTGAAAGTTACTGTAATTACAAAGTAAAAATATAAAAGACAAAAAATTGTTAATCACAAGATGCAGAGAAACAAAGACAAAAGATTCATCTTTCAGCAAAATTAGAACATAAACTTGTAGTGTAATTCTGATTTATGCATATGCTCCTTTGTACCCATCTGACAGTGGAGATAAGAAGAGTGAAGGGAGCATAAATTAAGCTTTCACCTGCATTTGAAACTTGGTTATTGCATCCTTCCCTCCCTCCATCCCTCCCTTCATCCTTCCCTCCCCACCACTACATGATTTCACCTGATATACTCCCAGAGGCATCCTTGTTGGTACCCTTCAATCATCCTTTCTCTCTACAGTAAGGAGGACAGTGGTGGGGTCATGGGAATGAGAAACTGAAGTAAGGAAGAGTCTGCCTGGGTGAGCTCTTCACTGGGAAAGGAGGAAAATCCTGGAAAATATGCCTGGAGGATCATTTTGAATTGACCAGCTGTGCAGATCCCCAAATAGGAAATAGAAGGGACTACAGCATGACAGCATATTTAGTCCCTCATTAAAATTGGATATCATGGTCTCCCCCTTCTCCATCCTCTCTCCTAAAGGCACAGGATGGGCAGAGGCATGAATACAACTAGCACAGTTTTATACTCCAGGCAAATCTACAACCTGAAGGTGTAATGCAAATTTCTACCTATTTCAAAGTACTTCCTATTTAAAATACTTATTTACATTTTTATTTGTATTATCTCTTCTGCTGATCAAAGATCTTGAGGAAAACTTCAGAAATTTACCAGAAATAGATCTGAAAGGAGGATGATATTGTTAGCACTACAATATTGGCTGAGTGTCCTTAAGATGAAAATGTTATGTTTGCCTAAGAATTTGCAATGGCATGTCCCACTTCAAGACAGAGTTTTGATTCAGTCACCTAAAGAGATATTCAAGTAGATGTAGCTAATGAGAAGTTCACCTGAACTCAATTAGATAGCAACCTTTCCAATAAATAGAATTAGCAGTATAAATTTAGTAAGACAACACACAGATTGGCAAATGTTAAACCTATTAACATAATCTACAAGTAATTGTCATAAATTTTAAAAGAAACCTTGCTTTGCCTTCATCTTATAAACCTGCTTTCTTCATTACATTAGTACTTCCAGGGAGATTTTTCTAAGCAGTGTGCCCAGCTATATGGTTAGTTATATAGGCAGGAAATTTTAAGCCATTTCTAGAAACATTTTTTTGCATCCTGGACACCTTCCAAGGTGTTTTTCAGAAGCCAGGTAGGAGTTAGCTGTAGCAAGTTCATACTGTTGTGCACTTCATAGATCATTTTTTTATGCACCATCATGCACATAATTTCCTACATGCATCACCCATGTCATACTGTATACAGTCTATTACCACATAATCATATGATTCAGTGCAAGGCATTAAATCAGATTTATGTAGAACACAAGATGCTCCCTTCTCTAGCTTTCCTGGTTGACTCAGAAAATTTCTGTCATGTTTCAATAAAAATGAATCCATGCTGTGAAAAAATGCTAGAACAAGCAAACTCTATTTATTATTGATAATTAATTGGACATCTGCAGGCATATAAGTGTAAGGCAGTGAGCAAGTACAAGCTTGATTCATTGCAAGTATACAGTGGTATTAAAAGCTGAGCGTGCACAGACAAGACAACTCATTTCTTAAAGCTGTTAAATAATGCTGCAGTTGAAACAGAAATGCTCCATCAAATAAGAAAACATTGACAAAACCAGAATGTTACTGACTCTGTTCTTACATTTGTTCATACCCAATAAGCAGTCTGTACAACCTTGTTCACCTGAGACAGCCAGCTGGGCCTGGGAGATAGAGAGATTCATGAAGGAGCTTCAGCTCCAGAGGCAGGAAGTGCTGAGTGCTCAAACCACAGGACGTCCTGGATCCCAGACCTACTTAGGGGGTCCTGATGTCTCAAGTCTATCTCAGTTAGCAACTGCCAGATTCAGGCCTCATATTTTGTTTGTGATTGTAGAGTAATGAGCCCAAGATAAAAATTCAGTGGAGAAATGTGAAATGGGAAATAGTCTGAAAAAGTAGTTTTGTATTACATAAGAAAGAAATTAAATTGAAAATATTGAAACTGTCCATGAACTGATGGAAGAATTTCACTGCTTGATTTTTATACCAATCTCAATCCATCTGTGATTCAGGTGAATGTATCTTTTGGAAGTAAGTAAGAATCTAAACTTTTGGATGACTTCCTGTGTGTTTCTAGGGAAATGAATAAACGTCTTACAGAGGAGCAAGCAAAGAAAACCTACGATCGAGCAATTAAATTAGAACAAGAATTTGGAGAATATTTCACAGGTATGTTTTTATAAATACCATTTTTCCTCCATGATATAGTCTCTTGTTGAAAAACAACTGTATCAGCTGTCTCTGGCCTTGAGTGCCTATCAGTATAGGGTGCCCAGATTAAGGACTTCTGGTTTAAGATTATTGTGTCCTTGAAATTAAAGAACTGTTGAGGCACTTGACTCCTTAAACATTTGATGTTCTGAAGGAATATCTATGCCGAGGCCAATTGTGTGAGGTTCAGTAAGGCAAAGTGCCGTGTCCTTCATTTGGGTTGCAACAACTCCATACTGCACCACAGGCTTGGGGCAGAGTGGCTGGAAAGCTGTCTGGTGAAAAAGGACCTGGGGTTTCTGGTCAACAGCAGCGCAGTGTGAGCCAGCAATGTGTCCAGGTGGCCAAGAGGGCCAATGGCATCCTGGCCTGTATCAGCAATAGTGTGGCCAGCAGGACCAGGGTAGTGATCATCCCCCTGTACTGAACATTGGTGAGGCCACACCTCAAGTCCTGTGTTCAGTTCTGGGCCCCTCACTACAAGAAAGATATTGAGGTGCTAGTGTGTGTCCAGAGTAGGGTAATGGATCTGGGGATGGGTCTGGAGCACAAGTCGTACGAGGAACAGCTGAGGGAGCTGGGGGTGTTTAGCCTGGAGAAAAGGAGGCTCTCTACAACCACCTGAAAGGAGGCTGTATCAAGATAGGTGTCAGTCTCTCCTCCTAGGTAACAAGTGACAGGATGACAGGAAAGGGCCTCAATTTGCAAAGTGGAAGTTTAGATTAAGTATTAGGAAAAGCATTTTCACAGAAGGGGTTGTAAAGCATTAGAACAGATTTCCCAGAGAAATGGTAGAGTCATCATCCCTGAAAGTGTTTAAAAAACACGTGGATATGACACGAGGACGTGGCTTAGTGGTGAACATGGTGGTGGTGCTCAGTTGCTGGTTGGACTTGATGATCTCAAAGGTCTTTTCCAACCTTAAAGACTCTATGAATTTGATTCCCTCCTTGACCCAAAACTGCTTTTAATGAAGTCAGTAAAAATGTTGCATCATTGCATTTGTACAGACTAAAGAATCCCTCACTGATTCAAGACAAGGGCTCAAGCTAAGGATCATGGGAGGGAAA